AGCAGCCTCTTATGAATGTGCCCATCTGTGCCTTATAATTTTCTCATTTCTACAAAATTTCTTATGTCAACAGTGTTTATATTTCTAAACATGTAAATAAAAATGAAAAATTAAACCATAGAAAATAGTATTCCTCCTAAAATATTAGTTTTCTTTAGCTTGTTTTTTATATATGACTGTAACAGCTTAATGTATTTGACTGTATTGAATTAAGGAATAATTCTTTTTTGGCAGTGAGTCTTTAAAGAACCCACTTATATAAGTCTATATCATTATTTGAGTAGTTGTTTAAAATAGAATAGGAATCTGTTTTAAAGATTTCATGTTGCACATTTCCTACTGATGAATTCAAAGGCATATTAATCAGAATCAACAAATAAAAATGTATGAAGGCAAGTGGATACAACTTTATTAATAGGGCATTTTGTATGTAAAAAATTGGGGAGGGAAATATTTTAAATAAACAAGTTATAAATATGTAAAATACTTTAAGAATGATGAGTTACATTACTCTTTGGAAGTATATGATTCATCTATATTATAATTTCTTCCAAGACCAGAAGACATTTAATATATTTCTAAAATATTATTGAATATTTCTACATAAAAAATAAAAATTTATTAATCATTCAATTTCATACTGTTTTATATTTTTGATGTATATATTTATATTTTGATTTTGATTTTATAATTTTATTTTATAATATTGTTTTAATGTTTCATTTTAAATTTTATATTCAATTTTTACATTCAATGTTAATTTTCACAAATATAGTATATATAGATATGTGTCATATCTATTTATAATTTAAAAGTAGTGCTTAAAAGAAGAAAAGGAAAAATCTTGTAGAAATCTTGTTCATTATGACTGGTAATTATATTCCCTTATCGTCTTTCTAAAGCTGCCAATATTGGCCATAAACTGTTCTTTACTGATCATTCAGGATAATGTTTCAAGGGTATAAATGTTAGCATATATGAGACCATGAGACTAAGAGTCATCATAAGTATCACTATTTAAAAAGATCATTGTTGCTACACATTTCAAAGAAAAATTTACTCACTAAAAATCCACTGTAGTGAGTAAATTTAAAGGTCTGTGCAGTAAACTTCTGTCCTAAAAAGATTTATGAGGAGTTTTGAAACTAATGTTAGTGTACAATATGCTCTGATTTCTAAAGCACCTAGTACAATTTTTTTTATAAAACAAATTAAAGTGTCTCAGCACAGGCCCATAATTATAATACTTCTGTGATGATGAAAATTGTTAAATAAATGATGAATGTGTCTTAAATAATCAATGCCAATTTAACCCTGTTCACCTTCCTCTGTCTGCTCAGGCTTAGTTTATTGAAAGATCAAAGAATAATTTCTTAGGTGTCACTTGTGTTATTAAAACATGATGGAAGATGAATAGATATAGTCAAGTAGCAATGTTGCCCATTATAAAATTACATTAACAGGTAGGGAAGATTTTTCTGATTGTATCAACTATATATATATATATACTTTAACATAGCACATATGCTATTCATAAATATTTTATAGCTTGAATTACTGAAAATAACTTTTGATTAGAATATTTGAGAGAAAATAGGCAAAATACTATAGTGAAAAACTTACATCCTGAGAGTAGGAAAATTCCACTACTTTTATTAATTTAACATGTTAATAATAGTATTTTTCTTGCTTGTTAGGTTTTATAGAAGATTTTTAAATAAATTTTATTCTTTTAAGTATAAATTTTCCTTTAAATTAATGTATAACTTTGACTGAATAGTCACAAAAATCTCTAAATTCTGTTTAAGCCAAGCGTGCTAGTTTTAAGTAAAGAGATTTCCTACTTTCATTGCATCAACTTTTATTATTAGTTATTTACACTGATATTTAATGTTCACTAGTCTTGAACTTGAAAGGTATTACTCACC